CCCCCCCCCGCTTTCCAAATTCACACCTAGGACTGTCTATGCCAGTTGCAGATGACAAAATTTAAGTGGTCTGCAAATATTGTACCCATCATGCCCTGCAGTGGTTAGCAAATTCCACAAACATGCTTTTTTCATTGAATAAACGCCTCGACAACATAGTTTGACTACAAAACGTTACAAACTATCCATCCATCACTGCTTAATCCCAACCGAGCCAATCCCAGGAACAACAGGCAAGGGCAGGAACCAACCCTGGGCAGAGGCCAACACGCCGCAGGGCTCACACACAACCAGGGGGCCAACTTAGAGTCGTTGATCAATCTACCACGCACACTTTTTGGACTGTGGGAAGAAACCGGAGCCCCCAGTGGAAACCCATGCGATCATGGGGAGAGCAGGCGAACCCCACACAGAAAGATCCTACGCCTGACCCCGGGATCGAACCCAGGACCTTCTTGCTGTGAGGCAGCAGCACCACCGCACTGCCCCATTACAAACTACCACGTTTCAAACCTGTTTTAAGTATTGTACCAAATATTTTTTCATTATGACTCCCACCATAATGAGACTGTATGCATAAAAATGAGAGAAACTAAAGTAGCATGTTACAAACTCACATGGTATGTATGATATCAGTGCCTTAATCCTTACAAGTTTTGCATATATCTGAGATTTGCAGTCCGGGGGGCATCTGCAGCCCCTGGCTGGAGCAACAGTTGAATAAAGTTCTGCAATCTCTAAAAATTAGAAATATTTCCACAATTTTGCCCACTAGTATATGTTACTTAGTAAATAATCACAAAAACGAATGCTAAGAGAAGACAACTTAACCATAATTAAGGAAGGAAGAGAGTAATAACACGAGTAAGTTCAGTGAGTAATTTAATCCAATGCTGCTTCACTAAGTGAAACCGAGTCACAAATACGCAGAAACGCCTGACAATGTTAACGCTAATATCTTCTCAAGGACACGGTTTATTTCACAAGGAGTCAAGTGCATTTGCCTGTTGGGAACTGTTGCAAAACTTCCAGACCACAAAAACAAGCCCAACCCTCCAAAAGAATCTAAACTTAATATGTAACATTAGTAAGTATTTCCATGCGCATTAAAGGAAGTGATGGAAATAAAGAAATTAAAAATTAAGGAGGCTGGAAAGATTTTTATGGTATTATGTTGAAAATGGTGTAGAAAATAGACATTGGACTTTCATTCTTCTGCTTCACATGATCTGAAAGAAAAGCCACAATTCTTTAGAGTGGCTTTTACACTCATCCAGCTGCAGGATAGGACTTACACACACGTTTCTATGAGAGCCCCACACCCCAACATTACCGGTGTTACAGTGCGTGGCGCCTGGGAGGGACATCAGGCCGTTTCGGTTTTGGGATTGGGGGGGGGTAGTGGGTGTGGTTAAGTGTCCCTCCCTTATCTCCACATGCACCCACCAGCCAGCCCTGCCAGAAGAATGTAAACAGGAAGCCTCTTCGATGAAAACAGTGGCGTTGACAGGAAATGCTGTCATCCTGAGCGGCGCTTGGCGCAGGCTTGTTCTCCCCCCCGCCGGGGGGCTGCTTACACAATTGACACGCTCCTCTGACAGACCCACAGCTATTACTCTCGCTTTCCGAAAATTACACCTGCTGATCGCACCAATGAGAAAGCACACTGTGCCATTTATAATAGATGAGAGGCCCTGGGGAAGTTTTTCAGTGCCCCCGGGGGGAGCCCAATGGGAGGGGCCGCACGTCATGGGGCCCGGTTGAAGTAATTTTGTCCCAAGCCTGGGAATTACACGCAGCACCCAGTCTCATCTCTCCTCCACTGATCTCAGGTGAAGATCAGCTCTATCAGTCTCAGAAAAGCCTTCCCGCTGTGCAGACTCCTACACCGCAACAAGACTGACTCTCTTTGTTTGTTTATCACTGCTTAAACATTAATATTGCAGTGACACTGGCTTCTTAGTCGACTCCACATGCGCAGAACAAAGGAAAAGTGAGCAAAACGCCTCTCATCCCCTAATGAGCATCTAACACATCTCCCCTGCAGAAAGTAGCCCCTCCCCCAAGCCAGTGGCGAAGGTTAACAAGATGGCCGCCGTGTTTTGAGTCTTCGACAGCGAGAACACACTCGGCACTCGTCTGCCAGAAAAACAAGAGGCCGACTTCCTGCTGGAGTGCGGTTTGCCGCAGAAGGCGAGATGCTCAACGTAAGAGGAAGCTTGAGTCAAACCTGCCTCACAGCTCCCCCCTACTAAAACACAAAGGATGGGGCGGGAGGGCCAAGTGCATTTCCACATCGAGATATGCACACACACACACACGTACACACACACGCTAGGTCAGGTCACATCTGCTAAAGACTCATGAAGGTACGCTTGCATAAACTACACAACATCAACAGCATTAAACGACACTATCAACAAGCAAAATGTGGTACAATTTCAAATATCAGAAGTACGTACGAACTGAAGTTCATAGACCATTAACCGAGATACTCAGTTTTTTTTTCTCATCACATTACAGAAGCCAGAAACAACAAGATAAATGCCATATCATATTTTCGCTGGAACTCAGTTTCCCAGTCTGGTCCACAGTCAATGTTTTTGCTCCCTCCCAGCTCCCAGTAGGGAGCAAAAATGTGGACTGTCCAGCAGGGAGCTGGGAGGGAGCAAAAACGTGGGGCTCCAAGGACTAGGCTGAAAAACACTGATTTTGAAGGAATATTAGCTTAGGACCCTGAGGAATATCAGCTTAAAATCAGGAGGTATATGAACTCAGGACCCAGAGGGTATATGTGAGTATATATCACACTCAGAAAAAAAGTAAAAACTTGTTCCTTTGCTTGTCACTGGGGCTGTACCCTTGTAATTGTACTGTTTAAGGTACAGAAATGGACTCTGAGGAACATACCAAAGGTACAAACAGCATGAATGTACCATCAATGGTATAGCAATGTTCCTCAGAGTCAATTTCTGTACCTTAAAAAGTAGAATTACAAGGGTACAGCCCCAGTGACAAGCAAAGGAACAAGTTTTTACTTTTTTTTCTGAGAGTGCAGGAGCTCTATAAGGTTAAGCCCATTCTCACCCTCTCCAACCACCACATCCTTCAGCTTCTCCACGGCTTCTGCAAAGCGGGCCACGTCCTTCAGCAGGGCTGGGATGTCCTCCACTTCGATGGGTGCGCCCTCAGTGACCTCCAGGGTGGGGCTCTGGGCAGTCGGCACCCTGCCATGGCCCTTGCCGAAGCCCCAGCTGCCAGTGGCCTGAAGGGAGAAGCCGGCAGCACTGGCGTGCCGGCTGAGGGAGGTGGGCCTCCGCAGAGTCGCCCCGGGGGAGGGACAGCCAGCCAGTCGGCTGTGCAGGATCGTGGAGCCGGGGCTGCCGGAGCTGGACGGGCAGGACACATCCGTGTGGCTGGATCCAGGAGCAGTACATGGAGAAGACTCAGAGGCATTAACACGAGGGGACTGCTCCTGGAGAACAGAGAGCTGGGGTTACATGGGGGGGGGGGAGCAGGGATGGAGATGGGAATGATGAGATGATGAGTGGGAATGTAGCGACGGAAGGAACTTCCAAACTGAGACGAAAACAGGGAGATGGACTGGAAATCAAGCTAGCCAATCCCACAGACATGCATATTGGGGAGTGGATGGGGCAGAGTAAAGGGTCAGTCAAAGGCCTACTGAAAGATACCACCCCCCCAAGGAAATAATGAAGCAGGCTGAGAGTGCCAGAAAATCGCTCAGATGAAAGGTCGTCTAGTAACGGAATACGGACAGGGAGTGACGACTGAGAGTCATTTCAGTATAACCACTCAAAGGTGCTGACACATTAATTAGAAAGGATTTTTAAAGCACTAAATGTGGGCTTCCAGTATCACTTCGCATCTGATGTCACAGGAATATCAGAAGTACTCTCAGCCCTGGGCAATGTTTGGTCCGTCGGAGTTAAAGTATTGAAAAGGTGAAGCAGGAAATCACAGTTCGCGAGCAAAAAACCCATTACAAACTATGGAGACACAAAACGCACTCTCCACCAAACATAGCTGCTGTGACGCGGAAGTATAGCACGGTGATCAGACTTTACATCAAGAACACCCAACAGGATGAATTCAAATGTGACACAGGGGACTGTTGTGTAACGCTGTGTGTACGCAGTCCAAAAACACCCCAACCAAAGACTTTTTTGGTCCGAATATTTATCCACATATGTTATATTTTCAACATATGCTCCCTTTTATTCTTCTTGGTGAATAATGCTTTCATTTTATATACATTTAAATGCATCACTCTTGTGTGATTCGTGTGGCAGTCCTGTGGTAGAGACCACGTATTTCAAACGTGCAAACCATCCTGACGTTCACACACTGAACAGTGGGTCTTTATAGCCAGCTTTTATTTTTTATTTTATTAAAAAGACTTCCTGAGTTGTGGAGCCTGGGTGGCGACGGAAAATCCCCGGACTGTTACCGCAGCTGGCCAACAGATGTCCTTATAGAGCCCCACAGGAACACCTGCTAGACAATAGCAAGACTTCGGACACTTACAACTTTTGCTGTTTCACATAAACCTAAAAATATATTCTTTTTCAACATAATAAACATTATATTCATATTTTTACTATCTGTAATGCCTTTATATTGGTATTGGTACGTGGCTAAAAAGTGTCAACTTGTTAAATGAATATTTTACATTTATAATTCCTACACTAAAACTGGAGTTTTTCTTTAAAACAGACATTCGGGCTCTTAGGTAATAAATTCGATTTATTTATTTATTTAATTGCGTTGAACATGTTGCTTAAGATGGAGGTCTTCATCACTCAACCGTAGCTTACAAAACTTTTTCCTGACCATGTGCATTTTAATAAATGATCAACATCTACCAACATAAAGCCTTTCACATTGAATAGCTCCTTTATATAGTAATTGTAAGCGGATCAATATGATAACCAGTATTAAAAGTCCATATTAAAGCGGTGTAAGTGTGCATGAGTATTTTCAAGTATACAAATAAGCTGACCTACAGCATAGAGTAAGTATTCAGACCAGACGGCTGTCGTCTAGTCTTCTTCCCAAATGCTTTTACAACTTAGCGTTCAATCTTATAAGGTTTCTTTTAAATCGCCCTAACATAGGGTTGATGTTGCCATTACAAATACCGAGTGCTTCTCTGCCCAGTCAAACCGGTCAAAGAGTCAGAGGCAGTAAGACGTGCGGTGCAATTTCCAGTAGACAGCTGGCTGACAGCAGGACTAACAAGCAGATTCTTTGCAGGAAAGAGGAGAGAAAACCCCGCCGGACGGGTCCCTGTCTTGGGGATGCTGTGCCACTTACGGATAAATTGTGAGCTCCAGGGTTTCCTGCAGTCCTTTTTGATATTGAATTAGTTTTAATGAGTTCCTTCTTCTTTCTGAACATTTTGGCTCTTTATTTGTTTGTTTTAATCGCACGCCGGCCCCCAGCTCTTCGCCGTCTTCAGGAGCTCGGACGCTCCATTAAAAGCGGAGCGGAGGCGCGCCGTTCACCGTCTCTGCCTCTTCCTGCCGCCCGCCGCGCATCGGCTCTGCCTTCGGCGCGAGCGCGGCTCTGTCACAAGCATCTGCCTCGACATCCGCCGCCGCGGCAGCCTTCAAGAGTGGAGGGAGGGGGGGAAAAAAAGGACATGTGACGGGTTTAGCGCCATTTGATTGGGGCGTGTGAGACCAAGGAGGACAAAAAACGGTTTCGTTAACTGAAAACTAACGGTGAGTAGTGATATTGAGCAACCGTGCAAGGCGGTGTAGGATGTGGATGTTGAAGGATACAGGATGTTACAGGCAGCTCGTGAGGTAAAATCAAGGTTGATTTGATGACAGTTTTTTTTTGTATATTGGATTAGTGTACTACACACAAACACACACTACACTTATCTAATTTGTAAAAAGCTATACCCCAAATCGGTCTTGCTAAGACTGAAAAATTGTAATTTTTACAATGCATGCTTGGAAATTTGTACAAGAGTGATAAATTCGGTAATACAAATATTTTGATTTACGCAACAAAAATGTAGTAGTAGTGTGATTCAGCAGATCACTAAGTGCAGCTCTCTATTTTATCCAGAGGGTGGCGGTACACTCACATTCAGTAATGGTACAGGAAGAACACCGCACGTATTAGAGTCCCTTCGTTTCCGCACTTTACTAATGAGTGAGGCGCCTGGATATAGCAACGATGCTATATTTATAAGATATTTCAGAGCAAAGGCAGATGAGTCCCCTATCTCAGCTGACTTGCAGCTATCTATTACAGCTCAAATTATGTTATATACTTTTGATCGCCTATATGATAGTGGTGAGAGGTGACAGAGCCTCTTCCAGGAAGCACAGGGTACCTGGCAGGCTGCTATCCTGTCCAGAGCGCCCCCTGGTGGTCCACTGAACCTCTGCGCACATTAATCACCCAAAGGCTTATCCTGTTGAAGGTCACAGAGGGGCCTGGAGCAAATCCTAGCCAGGGTTGGCACAAGGGGACACTCTAGACAGGATGCCATCACGGGGCATGCACATGCATGCACACACGCACACACACACACATAAAGGCATATACAGGCATATTAGGCATGTATATCTTTGCGGGGACTCTCCATTCATTTCAATGGGTATACCTCTAATCCCAACTATGACAACCTTAACCATAAGTAACCAGAGAAAACACAAGACTTTTGGCATTTTTAGTTTTTTGATTGCATTTTCAAATTTTTTTTTTTATATATTAAACTGAGTTTCTCCTTGTGGGAACAAACCAGTTGACCTAACTGCATATGTCTGGTCTGTTCATGGAAGCCCATGCAAAGAAAACATGCACAATTTACACATGCAGCAAGGCAGGGGATCAGACTCAACCATTAGCTACAGGTCTACCCACTGAACTTACTGTAAGTCACACAAAATGAAAGGAACTGCAAGCAGATGAATAATCTATCAGTTTTTATCAAGGATGTGGTTGATATAGATGTGGTGGAAACAATGAGTTAGAAAAACTAGCATAAAACAGTGCTTACAAAAGATAGATTTAGCGAGGAAAGGACTGAGGTACATTTAGAAAGAGTGGAAGTAAAATGCATAGGTTAAATGAGCATGTAATACGTTATTCATTGAATGAAATTATTTTCAAACACAAAAATTAAACCAATTTTTACATGTAGGTTTATTTAAATTAAATGCTAAAATGGACAAACCAAAACAGTTAAATCATGATCAAGGAACAAACAGAACATCAGCAATCCTGAGCTTTTATTTTAACAAAAATCAAGACTGCCATACAAGACTCCCGTTATAAACAGAGAATTAGTCAAAAAGGCACAAGTGTTTACAATACAACTTTGATCCAAATAAATATATTCGGGGAAAAAGTGCTGAATGGTTTGTCAAAGTCTTTAAAAAAATAGTCAGTAGCACAATATGTTTGAGAGAGAGTTTGTATGGGTGCCTGTGAACTAAGGCTCTTTTGGTGGCTGTATCTCCACTATGACCAGAGCTTTATGGAACAGTTCAGACTAGAGAACTTACGTAATATACAAAAACAAATGAAACTTTGTAGCAACACCTGGATTCAACCTACCCTTAAAATCCTCAATAATATATAATTTTTTCCCTCCATTTTCCTTACTCGTAATTAAATTTCATTGGTTATATTTAAACAAAGGTAGATAGTCCAGGTCCAGAAGTAAAAATCCAAACCAAGATTTTGTTTCAACCAACCAGTTGTGTACTCTGTGCCTGTGACTCTTCAGTACCACTTTACAATAAGACTCCCTTGTGCCACTTGTAAATGGTAGTAGCTCATTAATAAAAAGAAAACTGTATTATAACTTGTTAATTTACAAAGTGTTACAACCTAATTAATAACCAGATTATAAACCATTCATAAACACTTTATACGGGTAGCCTTTTTGTAAAGTGGCACCGACTCTTCATACTCAACTGGCTGGTTGGAATAAAATCTTGGTCTGGATTTTTACTTTCTGGACCTGAACTACCCACCTCTGTTTAAATCACGTTTTGCAGCCGGTTATCACATGAAAATCATTCTAGTAAAGCACCTCAGTCACAGGGCCAGCCGCAGAGACCCCGCAGGGACAGAGACCCCGCAGGGACAGAGACCCCGCAGGGACAGAGACCCCGCAGGGACAGAGACCCCGCAGGGACAGAGACCCCAGCTTTCAGTCCAGTTTTCCAACCACTCACTATGTGTTGAAGTATAAACCACACACACAAAACACAGCAATTCAGGAACAAAGTGCTGAACGACAGCAGTGTGTGTTTCCATTATCTGTTGTGAAATTAACCCTTAAGAATCAGACCAAGTTAAATGTCAGGCTTCTTCCGAATTTCTTCCTGAGTACTGAGTAAAACAGCCAGTGGCTTCAGGTCGGAATATTTTGGTATCATACTGCAGGCTTATCCCCTACCCATGAAAACAAGTTAATAATGTTAAATCAAAAACACACAGAAAACAAGTAAGAGGCAGTACAGAGACATTATACTAGGAATCAGCACAGAACAGTGCAACATATTTGGTACCAGTTAACAATTTCATAAAAAGAAAAGTCCCTGATGAAACTTTCTTTTTAAAGTATTAATCTGCAGAACAAAATTATAATCTATCTACTAGAATATTTAATACATATAAATAGCAGTAATAATGACAATACCATAAATTCTTTTTTCTTTGCTTTACAAGAATAAAAGATGTGAGTTTGGGTCATAATTTAAATAGTTCTTGTATACTACCCACACATGTGAAAGTCTTCCAAGAGACATACGATACAGATCGTAAACAGTAGTGACTTCTGCCTTTCGATTTGTTCTTATTGTACAGTTATTATTGCTCAAGAAAATCTTATGGAGAAGAAAGGGAGATTTTTACAGGTTCTTTCTGGGCTCTAGGTATCTAACTTGCATTAGGACAACAGATCCAACTACTTATGAAGGTTTTTATTACCCAGATAGTAATAAAGCCGAACTCCTAAAGACCTTTAAAACTACATTTCCCTGAGAATTTCAAGGGCTGAACAACAATGAAAGTAAATTAGTCCCCTTTAATTACATCATGATCAACAAATATTAATACCCCCCCCCCATGCCACATTTTTAACAGCCATTAGCACAGCCGATCATTAGTCTCCATGGCGATCATTGGTTGTGCTCAGCTATTCATGAGGTTGTGAATTCATGAGCCCCCAACCAAAGGTTTTAAATCTCCTAGCAGCACAACACCATGAAGACCTTCAGTCTGATATGATAATCATTAAAACCAACATACCACTGTTTCAAAAAAATATATAAATACTTTAGAAAGACTGCATTTCTTAGAAGGCACGGTCAAAGTGACTTTTCTCTGGAGACACTTTTGTTTCCATTTCAGCTTGTAACCTGGTGCCAACAGCTGACCACGATCATGAAACATGGCCCTTCAGATGGGATGCCGCCTCTCTGCTCTGCCCGGGTTCAGCCAATCGCCATGGAAACACCTAGCTCGTGAGAATATTACTTATATAGAAATGTTCTGAGGACAGAAGGGAAAATGATTGGTTCAGAGAGATAAATCAGATTGTAGAGGAGGTGGATCCAGGCAACTAGAGGAGGTTTAACGAAGACATCTGTTTGGTTGGACCCACCTCCTGTGCAATCTGATTGATTACCCCTCTGAACTAAAAGAAACAGCTTCTTTTCCAGGTTTAAATAAAATCTGTTCTAAACTAACATTTCCGATTCAAGCGCTTACTGTCCTACTAAACATCTTCCACCCCAACGGCAAACGTGATTCCAGGTTGACAAGTGCACTCCAAAGACCACTGAGGAGACTCAGTGGAAACTGAGGAATGCTGGGAGCTGGAGCCAGTCATCTGTAACTTCATCATAATCTACCACAGCAAGTTTAAAGCAAATCGCTATACTGAGCCAATGAGGTTTGTGGGGACAGTAGGGGAAGCCGGAGGGGAGCGTTAAGTTGCATCCCAGCCAGGCAGCCAGTACTGGATCACGGACTGCCGGCCTGAGCTGGTATGAAACAGGCTGTCCAGTGTCTCGCGCACATCCAGAGCATCTGCACTGCAGTGGCTGCTCTGGAAGGAAGGCGCGTACCAGCCCACTGCAGGGCCTGATGGGAAGGAACAGGAGGGGGAGCTGGAGGTGGTGGAGTGAGGGGCTGTGGAGGGTGCAGGAGAGAAAGATGAGCAGGAAGGGTACAAGGAGAGGGGAGGGGGCAGCTGGGAGCAGGGCCCATTCAAGGGGGCCGTCAGCTCATCCTCAGGGGAGGTATGCTGGAAATCCCGCGGGGGCTGCAGGCTGTATGGTAGGGCGCCCCCTGTTGGCTCAGACGGGCAAAGCAGGCCCCGGCTGTCATTGCGATCATCATCGGCATCGCTGTCGGGGGAGGGGGACGGGCTGCTCAGGGTCAGGTCCAGGATGGCGTCCACGGGATCGGACTGGGCGGGTGGCTGGGAGGGGAGGAACGAGGAGTGCCACTGCTGCTGTTCCAGGGCTTGCTCCTCAGCGGCCCGACACTGCCGCTCCTGCCGCTGCCTCTGCACCTCCTGCTCCATCTGCAGTAGGATGTCGCGGACCTGCGGCACGCAGTTCTCGGGGATCCGGATGCCTGGGTCACGGGAGGAAAGGCGGGGGGTCAGCGGGGGGGTGGCTGGGTCATGTGACGGCGGTAGGGGTGGGAGGTCGGGTGCTCACCGACTTGCTTGCTGTGCTGCTTGGTCTTGAGGCGCACGATCTGCAGGATGCCGGGGCTGGTGACGTTGGCCACGGTGTCGGCCACATGCTTCCAGACGCGCAGGAGCGAGCCGCACAGCATGTGGTAGCGCCGCAGCCGCAGCCCCATCCAGCACTTGCCTCCCTGGCTCAGCTGCTTGCAACGGCCACTCCTGCCACAGAGATGCACTCGGTCACACGACCCAAATGACCATCGTTACATGTCGGACACCGGCGCGGGCAACCCCGCCGCACCTACCGGCTGGCATGGCTGCACTTGGTCAGAGATACGGAATACTGCTTTTCCCAGAATTCCCTGGCTTCATCAGGTGTAACCTGAGAAAAGGCGGTATGGACGTTGGTCACATATCACTAATCTGCAATAAAAAACATGCAGTACCACTACAGGCCACTAGGGTTCACCAAAGACCATTTAGAGTCCATAAGACCAAAAATGGAACATCCTGGAGATGTAATGCAGCCCGCTAGGCTGAAGGGCGGCTCACCTTGTGGTATTTCCTCAGGAGGTTGTCCAGGCTCTCGGGCTGGGTCTGCCGGCCAATATTGGGTTTGTACAGCACCAGGTTCTTCCCGCGGCTCTGTTCAGCCAGAAGCACACAGGGCTGGTTTCTCTGCATCTGCGAGCACGGAGACACGGCACAGATCTTACTGTGCGCCGTCGCTTACGGCAGGCTCGATGGGGCCTAGCGAATGGTGGCAGCGCCTCAAGGTCTCTGTTCCGGCTGAACCGTCACGCCCTCAACTGAACTAACAGTCCCCGTAACTGAACTTCCTCAGTCTTTCCCCTCGACGGCAAGGCTGTCAGCTGGAATGGCTCTGCAGGAAGGGACTGGATCTTCAGGTTTCCATTAGTAAACACAGGCTTTGGCGTAACAGTATAATACATGGATTGCGTTCTGAGGGCCTTCAAGGTGCAGAGGGTATAGTGACGATGGTGCTGGGATTCACCTTGTGGGACAGGTAGAAGCCGTCGTCAGGTCCCCGCAGTGTCTGCGCCCGACTGCGCGCCTCCTCCCAGGGCAGCCCGCGGTCTACACTGACCTGGGGGAGTCAGAGAGGGTCACACCCAGCGTCCTGAGACTCACAGCCCGCCCTCCTTCCCGGGGGCCTCTCATACCTCATAGAGGATCACTTGGCCTTCCTGTGGGTTGCCCGGGGTAAGGAACTTCTCCTGGGTCTCTTCGTAAATCTTATCGTTGCCCGGAGCCAAATCTGCAGGCCCACAGAAACACGGCCTAAGTCAGAAGTACTGGACTCATTCATAGGCGCAAGCATTTAAACAAGCGGGAGGGGGAACAAAGCTCCCTTACCCAGAATGCCCATGTCATACTTCCCCTCCTTCTTGTCCATTTCTATTAGGTAGTCGAAGTTGTCGCTGAAGTACTGGAAGAGTGAGTTCTGCTTGTGTACCTCCAGGCCCAGGATACGGTTGAGGAACTTTGTGATGCTGCAGTCTGGACACACACACACACACACACACACACACACAATGTCCCTCAGCGTGACTCACCCAGAGATACTGCCCACCCCCCACGACTGGCCTCACCTAAAACACACACACTGAACCTGACCCACAACCTAATTTACCCTGAGACCCCCCTGTCTACCAAGATTTCCAGCAGACTAAAAAGAAAAATTCAGCAATTTTTCTTAAATGGAAAATATGGTGGTCCTTGATTACGGTCATATAAGTCATTCGACTGATTAATAAGTACTTTAGAGTTTCCAGAACCTGTGCAATTAGGTAACTGCAGGACCGATTAATCTTAATTACAGCACAAATTAATCTTCATTTGAACACTAGTTTGCACTGTTTTGCCTGAGGGAGAAAAAATGGTAAAGTTGATGAAAACTTTTGGCTAAATAGTATTGCGACACTTTGTGTACAAGGATCTAGAGTTTGTACGTGTGTGAAAGAGTGTGCGGCTGACAGGGGTTGCTTTGGAGATTCTGGGCACCTTTCTCATTGCTGAAAGACTCCTTACAGAAGAAGCCAACATCCATCAAACCATACTTCATGTCTGAAAGATGAAAGAGAGAGTCAAGACGGTGACTATGGCAACAGTCCTATGGGGAAATCCCTGATCCCACCAGTGACACTCTTAACCCCCACCCAACCATAACCATAAGTAACTAAACAAAAAATACAGGACTTTAGCCAATTTATTTTTTTGATAGCATTCACATATTTTTACAAAACTGAATTTTCCTTTGTGGGGACCAAGAAAATGGAAATAACAGGTTTTTAATCACATTGTGGGGACATTTGGTCCCCAAAACGTAATGTATACTTGGACCTCTCGCGCATGCACGCACACACGCACACACACGCACACTGGGGAAAGGGTGGGGGTACTCACCACTAAAAAACATGGCATCTCCTCCGGGGTACCCCTTTGGGGGGGGTACCTTGCTCTTAATATGGCCCAGGATGGCTTTGGTGATCTGGTCCAGTGCTCTGGTGCCGTACTACAGAGCACAGCAAGAAAACTAATGTCAGTCCCGAGGCTCACTGCAGACTTATCGTCCTGCAACCCCCCCCCCACATAACCATACTCCCCAAACTCTCACTTTGTTCTCAAAGTTGAACTTGCTGAGGTCCCTTGACTCCGTGGCCCTCCGGTCCCCGTGGGTCAGAGCCCCCTGAGCACGGAACAGTGAGACAGACGTGATGAGTCAGGCAGGAAATGGCCCCCCCTCAGGGCAGAAAGGCCAAAATGTGGGAAACCGAAAGCCCCAAAACGGGCCGACACAGAGTAGGCGTTCTTCGAGGTTATTCAGCCTATCTGACAGAAGCCACGAGTGCAAACCTCCACTGCAGTGTTTCCCAATCCGGTCCTCAGGGACCAACAAGATGGTCCAAGTTTTTGTGCCCTCCGAGCTCCCTGCCAGATAGTCCATATTTTTGCTCGGAAGATGGGTGTCTGGCAGGGAGCTCAGAGGGCACAAAAACTTGGACCATCTTGTTGGTCCCTGTGGACCGGATTGGGAAACACTGTTCTACTGTAACAGAAGACAGAACACAAATGAGAAAGATTGCCTCTCTAACATGCCGCAGAGAAGCAGTGATGCTGGTGTCCAGCAGGTGGCGTGAGTGGGACAGTGTGACGTACCAGACTCTCCAGCCTCTTGGCCACGATAGAGGCGAAACGGCGCTCTCCTGCCAGCTCCGAGATGAGGAAGACATACTCCGGGGCCGTTACCTGGTTGGAACGGTGTGTGCGACCTGGAGGGGTGCGCAGACAGGAAGCCGGTCACATGTGCACACACAACCAATCAGATATCAGTCATCTAGGAGATCACAGGTCTGACAAACCCTGTATGTGACGTCTTGCTATTCCTCTTCCCTTCACTGGTTTGGTCCGGTCCGCTATTACCGGACTACACGGGGACGTCCCTCAGGACCAGGTCGGCTACTCACCAAACTGCTGAATGGCCCGGTCGGCGCTCCACGGCAGCTCCAGGGTCAGGTGCACCCTCCGGCGCTGGTTCTTTATCCGCCGATCCGCTTGCAGCGAGATGCCGGAGCTGGCCGCTTCCGAAATGATGGCCACCAGGGGGGGGGGGGGGGCAGTAAGCACAGGGTGAGCGGCCTGTTCTGTGGCTTCCCAGCCTCTCGCTTCATGCTCACAGAAACCACGTCGTGTCCAGAAACTCACTGATTGCCCATGCTTCTAACTTATCACTGAAGCTCCAGTGAAACACTATTCATTAAAAAAAAAAATAGATATATGAATTTTCCCCCATTAAGATTTACAACAAGATTTACAGCTGTGACACAGGAAGGTCAGAAAAAAGTCAAATCTTCAAAACGAGTCTCCTAGAGAAAAAATACTTTTCAAATAATGACTTAATGACATTCATTAAAAATTAAATTGTAGGGTCACTGTGGGGATCAGGGGTGGCGCTAGGGCTGTTTTAGGGGGATTTTAATAGTGACAAAATGACATTTCATGAATCATTTGCTGTATTTTTTGCCCCCACTAGATGGTACTCTCTGTTCAAAAAGGGCACAAAGCATGCCCCAAAGCAAACCAAGAGCACCATCTAGTGGAGTCAGAAAATATAGCAAATGGTTCATGAAGCATCATTTTGACCATCACTAGTCATTAGCCCCTGAGATAAATGTACACGAATCAGTTGAAATAATGTGTTCTCATCGGTCATTAAAATCAGACCACCCCCCAGTAAAGGCTTGGCCCCACCCTCACCCACCTTCTCCCCATCCATGAAGCGCTCCTTCTCCTTGATGTTGATGTGGTCGATGGTCAGCCCCTGCTCAGCGCGAGACTCGTACCGCACGCTCCCGTTGGCCTGCCGCACCACCCGCCCCTTCCGGCCCGTCATCTGCCGAGGTGTGGGGTCAAAGGTCAGCCAAAAACGCCAGGGGGCAGCGCGGAAACCCACTGTACTGGGGGCGCCTCACCTCAGACACCTTCTCCGGGCCCCCAAGACGGTCGATTAGCTCGTCCAGCGTGTTGAGGGGCAGCTCCCTCCCCAGCTCGCAAATCCGGCCCAGGAGCCTCCTCTTCATCTCCTCCAACTTAACTGCCAGACCAAAACACAGAGGGGGAATCCCGATATCAATTAAAACCACTCAAGGGAGCCCCCCCCCTCCCTCCATCACAGTGCCGGATTCATGAGAATCCAGACAGAATCAGCATGGGCTTCAAGCAGTGTTATTAAAACTTTATTTTTTTTTTCCCATTTAGTTCTTATATTATTCTCAATTTTAATTTGAAATCCAGTTTAGTTTTACTTAATTTTCACTGCAATTTTATTAAATCAGACCCCCCAGTTTTATTTTGAAAACATAAAAACTAAATAGAAATATACATTTTAGTTTCAGTTAAAGAAATTTTATTTCTAGGGACAAACTGAAAGTTGTAGAGCTATTTTATGTCTGATCTTTAGGGAAATCCCACATGAATGCACAGTGCACATTACGTACTAATGTCCTCAAAACATGTCCCATGTTTTACTAATGGTCATTCCAGATAAACAATCATTAACTTAGCAAAACAGTATTAAAAACAGTAATGGGAAGTACTCGATATTTCAGCTAGATTTGGAAGCAATATTTATAGTTTTCATTTAGTACAGTCAACGAAAATGTTCTCTTATACTTTTAGTTTTTGTTTACAATAATGACTATAGCAGGAACCAATTCTAGTTTCAAGATTTTTACTCTAGTTGAATTCCTAAAGTTAAATTTACATCCATATCAAAATGAAACCTCATTGGTTGCTTCAAATGTTGATTAAGCACACAGTTACATTCTTACTAAACCAGCAGAACTACGCCGGTTAGTGTTTAGAAGTTTCCTTCACAGAAGCACTGTATGGAAACTGAAAGCAGGGAGGCATGCTGGGTAATTGTTCTAAAGTCAGGGCACCTGAGTGGCAGGTGGTGTGGTTGACGAAGATGACGTCGTCGTTGTCCAGCAGTGAGTCGGGTGATGAGTTGGAGTCGCTGTCCAGGCCGTCGGAGTCAGTGCTGGTCTCGTCGCTGATGTTGATCACGCCGCTGAGCTCCATGCCGTGCTTTGGGTATTTTGGCGGACGGCCCTTGGGCTTGCCTGGACGCACACAGACGGCAGCTTGTGACAAAAAGCCGTTCTGTCAAGGCAAGTGCGCTTTAGGGAGAGATTGTCGGGGGCCGCAGACAAACTCACGCTTTCTCTTGTTTCCAACGCTCTTGTCTCTCTTCTGCTTCTCTGAGGGAAAGTGCTTTTGCACCAGAGACCGAAACACACCTCTGCAAGAAAGTCACATGTCAGTCTGCGCCTTCAACACTGATCTCTCACCCCTGCAATAAAGTCACACATCTGTCTGCACCGTTAGCACTGATCCCTCATATACAGAGCTATGTGCACCCAGTGAGCATAGCGATGAAGACGGCCAGGGGGCGAGCCCATCACTGCAGGCCCACTCTCAACTAGGCCGGCATGACGTGCAACATTAAAATCAACATTGTATGTTATGTACATGCAACTGTCACACTGCGAGAACTGCAACACTAAGCTACCAATACATTACGCTAAAACATTTTAAACAGTTTAATCTCCGTTTTATAAATATCACAATATCCCCGTTTTTTCCCCCAGTGTCATTCTGCCCCCCTTGCCCTCCCCAGCACTTACTCTGCCGCAGACACAAATCTGTCCAGGTGGCCGTCATTCTCGTCCAGCACCTCCCGGGTCCGTGCTTCGCCGGTGGACTGCAGGCCGATGACGACGCACTGTGGGCGGGTGCATGTGGGGGTTACAAAGAGAAAAACAAGCAGTACACGGAGACACAGACACAGGTGTCAAAGGTACCCTGGACACAGATAATCCTTCAGTAATCGGCCTAGACCTTATTGCTCACCTTGCCCTGCTGAAGTGCTGTCTCAGCCAGCTCCACTAGGCGGCGCACTTTAGCAGCAATACATAGGTACTTGAAGAATCGCTGGTGCGCCGACCAGAACTGGCCCCAAAGGGTCTTGCGGGAGACCAGCCCCAGGAGGTCGGCCGCCTGCAGGAACACGGTCAGGGCCTCGGCCCACTGCGGAGCGACGGAAAGCAGCAGTCAGAGACGAGGAGACACGGTGGTACTGAAAAACAAGCCAGGGTCGGCCCTCATCCTCACCAGCTTAGCAGCCTTGTTGTAGACAAGCTTGAAGTCGTCGTCCAGGCTGATCTCCTCGATGTGGAAGGACACGCCCGAGAAGCTGAGCTGCCGAGCGATGTACATGCCACTGACCTTCATGTCCATGGCCACGATCTCCATGGCACCCACCCCTCTGATGCACGTGGGGACAGGAAGTCAGCACACGGGGGGGGCGGGGCCCCAGACATCCCTATGCTCCGCCCCCCAGCAGAGGAAACCCTGTCACTGACCTCTTTTCAATGGCCTGCAGAAAGTGATCAAAGGTCCTGAAGGGGGTGCCCTCCCCCCAGATGCCCAGCCGGCTCATGTAGATCATGTTCTTTGGCTCTGAGGCCCCTGGAGAGAAGAAAGACAGTCAGACAGACAGTCAGACAGACAGTCAGACAGACAGTCAGACAGACAGTCAGACAGACAGTCAGACAGACAGACAGTCAGAATCAGACAGTATCAGATGGCCAGACAGACAGTCATACAGACAGAGACAGAGTCAGAGATACAGACAGAGAGAATCAGACAGTGTCAGACGGCCAGACAGACAGACCCAAAGACAGTCAAACAGTCTGCATGCATTTCACCAATAAATTTGTAGCAGAGCTGAAATACGGTGATTATGGAAAACCAGACTTTCAACTCACACAGATTGTACTAGAAGGAGCTGACTGCTGAACCCAAAAGAACAGCAGCATAAAATATGTCGGCTGCACATGTGCGTAAACAAAGTGGCGTGCGAGCGTACCTGTCGCGCTGGCATAAACCACCCGGGCCAGCGGCAGCTTGCTCTGCAGGTCCAGCACCGCCTTGCCCATCTTGGTGGAGGTTGCATTTTTAGCTTTGTGGCACTCGTCAAACACGATCTAGGGGTGCCAGTCAAGGGCAAAATGAAAACTGTGCCACCAACAGCGCCACCCCTGGCAGGAATTAAAACACCCGACTGAGCTGCTGGCGGATGACTGAGACCGCACGAGAAGGATACCACTCCGTCGAAGCTGGGGCCACACCAGTCCAGGATCTGCTTCAGGCGAGTCCGCAGCTGGCTGCCCGCTTTGCTCTTCCCTATCAGAGCAGAGTAAGTGGCAAACAGGATGCCCTCTGAAGTGGCGGTGTCGTCATACTTAATCTAGGGGGAGAGAGGGGGTGAGGATCAAACTCTGTAAAACATCTGCGGTGATCAAACATGGATTCATCACCTTTAATGAGTAGTGTCACGGATACCTAAGATTGAGTTTATCCTATCAGAAAATAAACATTATCAATGTAAAAAATAAACCCTCCAAAGTATCCAATAATGATAATAATAATAATAATAATAATAATAAAATAACAATAATAATAATAATAGAGACTCATGGGGAAATTCTCCTTAAACCTCCCCCAACTTGCTCCCTTTAGGTGAGCGCAAGCTGGCCGTGAAGGGCTAGGGGTTAAGGGCATTCCTCAAGGACCTGCAGATGTGCGGAGGCCGGGATCAAACTGGCGACCTTCCGATCACAGGCACAGAGGCTTAGCCCACAGAGCCACACACTGCCCCCTAGGGACAACAGACACACAGGCACCTTGTTCAAGGCATAGACGGGAATGCTGGGAGCTTCTATGTCTTTAAGGTCTCTCTCGGCGTCGTACTTCAAGTCATTGGAAACACTGAACCTAAAATAAACAAAACAAAAAAAGGCAGAAGGGCATCAGATCGAGCCTCAAGAGTTAGCAGATGAGAGTGCGTGAACCAGCCCTCACCACAGTGCTTTCCGGCGCCCTTTCAGGAAGTTTTCCAGGATGATCCCAGCCAATGTGCGGCCTTTACCCACGCCTGCCCCGTCCCCGATGAGGAAGCCAGCCCGCTGCCCATTCTGCAGGATCACCTCGTGTTGCTGTAGAGGAGGAGAAGTTAGTACTGATGGACAAAATGACGCTTCATGAGCCATTTGCTATATTTTCTGACCAAACTAGATATTACTCTGAAGGGCACAAAAAAGGGCACAAAACATGCCCCAGAGCAAACCAAGAGCACCATCTAGTGGAGTCAAAAAAATACAGCAAATGGTTCATGAAGCTTCATTTTGTCCATCACTAGAAGATAGCAACACATAAAAAAAAACACATTTCTTATACACTTTCACTCACACACACACACACACACACACACACACACCTGACAGCTATAGATGACGGCCTCCAGTTGCAGGGCAGACAGCAGTCCAGCAGAGATGGTCCTCTCAGGGATAAACAGGGTGTAGGTGATGTCAGGAGGGGGAACGCTGGACAGTGTGCTGGTCTCCACAACGATGTCAGGATGCGAGACTCCTATCATGGCTACATGAGCAGAAGGGGCAGGAGTTTGATTGGTCAGCCTTGTCGAAAGGACCACGGACTGGGCGGCTGTGGGTCGTGAGGTCGAGGCCAGAGCACATACATTTCGACGGTCTGTATTCAGCATAGGTGTCCACATGGCCAAGCTCTAATGTCTCTTCTTCGTCAGCCTCTTCTTCCTCCTCAGGGGCAGGCTGGGGCTGAGAGGGCAGCCAAAGGAAGGTCAGGCTGTTTAAAAAAACTGGGGCAAAGAGAAGAAAGAAAGAACGGAAATGCTCTGTACCTTAATCTCAGCCAGGGGACCAGGACCAAGGATGGCAGAGATGTCCTCCAGGCCGGCAGGCAATGGCATCCGGCCATCCTCCTGCAGAAGAGAGATGCCAAATTAGCCCGGTATAGGGAGGACGCAGGCTGGTGGAGAGAGGGCCGCAGGCTGTGTCACTCACCTCCGACCCAGAAGCGGCGACATCACACAGCAGGGGCAAGCCATAGTCCTGCGTGACGTACTCCGACAGCGAATCAGGCGAAGAGGGCAGCCATGACATGTCGATGTCCTGGAAGTCCTGAGGGGACGGAAGCGTTACAGGACACAGGAGAGAAAGCCTCACAGCGACACTGCTTACTATCATATTCATGTATGATATTAATATTATTAAAATGCATAAATAAGGACAATTACGAAATTACAGTATTCTTTTCAAATGGAACGACAAGCCAGGTGTGCCGTTTAAATATTTTAGAAATATTGTTTAATATTTAAAAACGGAAGAGGCAAAGAAAGAGGAAAGGTGTGCAATGGCAGAGCAGCAGTCAGACTCAGTGCTCAAAGGTCACTCCGCCATGTTCCCTCAGTGATCTCTGCTGTCTGGGTGACAGTGCTGAGCAGCATTCGGTGACAAGCGACAGCGGCCATTTCACTGCGGGATATGCAGCGCTCCCCCTCCACTCTGATCCACGAGGGTCCATTACGGTTAAATGCCACTTTCACTCATACCTTGTATGTAAATTCCTCAGCGCCTGATTGGCAGACACGTCAACTCACTGTCTATACCGGTCCACTGCTCATGCATATACCATTTGGTCTGATGTGGGGACATTTATTATTGTGACGGGAAGATATATGTAATGTAAATAATTTATAACAATCAAGCGCTAGTATTTTACAAAACGCACATGATTTTTCACTTGAATGATGCCCATTCTTTGCGTTCCCTCTTTCGTGTTTAGCAGTAGTGTAAATCTGACACGTTCATTTAAGAATCATTTAGTGACCATAGAGTGTGGCTTCATTTGGGAATGTGATACGGAACAAGAGCTCTCATTGGTTGTCAGTTCGCCAGTCACTATTTATAAACGTCCAATTACAGCTATGCCTTCTGAGGCCAAGAAGGCCGTTGAAAAGCTTCAGGAGAAGGTTAGCGTGAAGCCGTGGTGCCCGACCCTGGCGTCGACAGGGTCCACCTTAGAGCCCCTCCTCCTCTTACCTGAGAGGAGTCTCTGTTCCTTTGCAGGCTTGGCCCGGGTAGCTCCGCATTCTGGCATAGCAAGGAGGGCAGGAGGTCTAACTGACTGTCGGCAGATGGGAGCTGGGGACAGCGCCTGGAAGACATGGCACCGTGTCAGTGAATCGGATGCCTGAAGCAGACAGCTGTGATCTCTGCCCAATTTAAAAGGGGACTTCCATTACTCGTGTCTTAAGACTATCATCATCACCTCAAAAAGGTTAAGATCACTGCCTTAGAATCCGATGAGATACTTCCAGTTCTTAGTCATGAATACCTTTTTAGGATAAAACAATACAAGGAAATGAAAAGAGAAACTCTGCCCCCCCCCACCAAATTTACTCAATATTCACTCTTCTGTTTTTGTATGGAAAAGGTTCAATCTTTTGTAGGACCCTCCAACTGCCAGCCTACCAGAAAAAGAGTACGGTGAAACGCAACAGGACAAGGCCGTCAAACACTAAGACGATGCGGTTGGGACAATCAGAGTGCCATGTGGGGGTGTGTTTTCTGAATGAGAACACCCTGGAACGTGTTCTAGAACAGATCAGGTCTTTATTCCTCATTCTTTGGAAAAGCATTGGCAACAGACACTTCCCGTTGCCAGTCAGCTCGACCTTTGTCTTTGCATAAATTGGGGAAGCGCAAAATAAAGAACGGGGCTTGAATAACCATCTGAACTTTAAATATGAGTCTTTACATCCAAAGAAGAGGCTAAACAAGGCTTGTAGTCAGGCCTTGTATTTGAAATGATAAATTTTTATATTAATGATTTTATATTCACCCAGAGAGCAGAAAAGAGCAGACTGATGCAGAAGATGAGAAGCACAGAGCATATATATCTGTCGGCTTAGAGGCTGTATACATACAAAGACACAGACAGCGTGATGAAGAATGTAATGCAGATATAGGATATACTGCACCACACTTTGTTTAGGAGACAATGTAATTCTCAGACACATTTGCTCAGATCCACATATAGATGAGCATTCCGTACACGTCTCCCCCCCCCCACACACACACACACCACGCCGACAAAGATACCCGCAGAAACAAGGCACTTCCAGCTGGGATGTTTATGAGGTGTGAGAACTGCCTCTGAACTGAGCTTGCAAGCGCTACAAGGGCAAGCTGTGGAGTGTGAAAGTCGGCCCAGGAATTGGGGGCCAAAAATTGACAGTCGTGTGAGACACCGAACCACAACTAAAGTGCACAGCTACTGTTTGCCTGCATTACTCTCAGTGGCAGGTTAATGAAAATTCAACAATGAAGAGTCCTTGAATTCCAGCTGGGGTATCTTCCTCCCCCCACTCCCCATCCAGGCTCCTCCTCCTCCTCATCTACACTGACAATTAAAATCAGATATGTCACATATACACAAGCTGACTGAGTACTTACTGGTTTCCAGAATGCACAGGATAAGGAGCACTGTACAGAGGTGCCTGCGAGTATTTCCAAGTGTTGGCCTGATGCATCGCATTCTGAAAGATCGTGGAAACAAATTAATTAATAATGTGTTTGAAATTATGCATTTACAAAGCTCTGTCCCAGTATCGTCAATTCAAACTAGAGGCACTGTGGTATATGGAATGGGTCCATGCAGATAGCAAGATGAGCCAATCGGACGCAGGGAAATGACACAAGAAGGTGGGAGGTACCAAGTGGTTTCAGTCCTGGTACATGGATAACGCCGTACCTGCATGGACACACTGTAGGCAGCAGAGTCAGAATGCGGCCCCCGCTGATCCAGGTGGTTCTCCCCATCCATGGCGGGAGGAGCAGCCATAAGGGGCATCAGGGCAAGTACAAAGCGGCTTTACCGGGGTCAGCCATGCCTGCAGAGAGGGAGATCCATGTCAACGCCATGTCAAACCACACAGCCCCAGGCAGTGTCATTATAGGATAGATTTTTTAATTTGGCTTCTATTTTTATGTCATTTTCAATTTTCATTTGGAAATCCAGTTTAGTTTTAGTTCTTATATGTTTCAGTTTAAGTAATTTTATTTCAAGGGGTAGAAGAAAAAGTTGTACAGTTATTTTGTGTGTCCAACCTTTAGAGAATCCCGCATGAATACACACTGCACCTACTAATTTCTGAAAAATTGGCAAAACGTGCAGGTATTACTAATGGTCATTAGAGGTAAACAAGCACATCATTACTTTAGCAAAAATACTACTGAAAAACAATATAGTTTTAGTTGCAGTTTTTTTTCCCGTATCTTTCTTTATTTCCATTTATGAAAATGTTTCCATACAGATTTAGTTTTTGTTACCGATGATAACCCAGGTTCCAGGCAGATAAAAGCAGCAGGAGTAAGGATATAAAGCACACCATTAAATCATCCAGTCATGTCACTGGGTAACACTGGAATCCATCCACATATAAAGTGCCAGCTAAGCGAATAAATAATAGCTAAAATGTGTTAAATAGGAATAAGGTCAATGGCGGTTAATGGTGATTTCATTAATGAAGTCGTTTCTCATTAAGATTGCCCCAACGCTAAAGACTCAGGGCTCCTAAAGTCTGACTGATAACAGTCATTGGGCTCCATTCCTCATATAATCCACAAGTGGCAGCCAGGCATCGCCTGTAAATGCCATCATCTAATTTGCTGGACCATTTATGCGCAAATCTTCACTTAATTTAAAAGTTAAGACACTTTTTTTTATAATTAGCATAAGCATCTTTTCGAATCATTTTTGAAGCATATAGTATTTAAGAGGCTAAGACCCATGTGAGTTCCAAGTGCAAAACAAACCACACACACTGCCGATTTGATCCCAACTGCAACGGACAGGAAAACCTATGGTTGCCGATGGCTGTGACCATATGGTTTGGCTATAACCACAACGGCTTGAGAATGTGCAACCAGAATGCTAAGGCAACACCCCAAAATACAACCATACTTCACACACACACACACACACACATATACTGCAGCAGAAACAACTAATCAAGATCATTGATAATTATTAATAATAAAAATAGTTGACAGTGACTTTTGTGATTGATTGGTAGCATTTTTGCAGTTGCAGCATAAACTGTGTACAATGACATCATCAACATCAGTGCTGGTCTTAAGTGTAATTGTTAGTGACCTCAATATGAAGAAGACAACAGGTTCATCTGTTATTGTCATATATGCATTTCCCTGAGGGAAAACAGTACGGTGATGCAAGTTATTTTGCGTTTTTCTTAAGAAATGTCACGTTAAAGCGTGACCAATTTCTTATATTTCTTTGTTTCTGTGTCACTTTCTCTAGACTGTTTAAAGTTTTTGTTAGCACTGGGACTTAAAAAAATACCTATGCATGTCTTTTTAATTTTTTTTAAATAAAGAATTTGCACTTTAAATCCTGTTTTGGACTAACAGTTTGCTTAGTTGAATGCCTGACCACGTGATTAATCGATTATCAATATAATCATTTTTGTTGCCGTAATATAAACACACACAAGCAGAGCTTCCAGCATAGGTTAACCATCAGTGGTGGGTGATTCCATCAATAAATTTGCATTTTATACATCATTAGACAAATTCTAGGTCAATATGTGGTATTAACAATAAAGAGAAATAACACGAGCACATATCTTTTATTGACTAAAATATTCATCAATTTTTCCTCCACTGCTCCCTCACACTCGAAACCCTGGCACCTGCTCACAGACAGAAACTCTAGAAGTTTCCAGCTCGCTGGCTCCTCACTCGAGAGGAGTGAAGGCATCTCCCAGCGTTCACCTCTGCAGAGGCTCCTTTCCCCCCCCACCGCCCACGGAGACCGCTGAGGCCGAGGGCTGGTGGACGGGATTTGCCGATACTGTTTTCATAACAGCCCTGCGGTCAGGTAAGGTTTCAGCTTTTCTGTAAGAAGTACTAGTTTCTCTTTGACTGTCATATCCATCTAGTAAAATAAATGTGGACAATAAGATTTTACCTTTACCTTGCAAACAAAACATTTCTGCATAATTACAAATTAGAAGAAATTACTGGCACAATACTACAATTTTTCTTTAGAGAAATGCATCGTTATATTCTATAAGTGAACCAAGGGAATCAATGACTGTTACACAACTAGTGCAGATGCTTTCTTGGTCAGACAGACTGCTTTAGCTGAAGGCACTCAGATTACACCCACTCTAGTGTCTCTACTCAACACCCAAATTCCCAACGCTGGGAGTTTGGAGGGGGGGCTCTGGGAGCACGACTGTCCTTATACTGCCAAGTCGGCACACTGGTACAGGGTCCTGGGCTCCATTCTCAGCTGAGCCCGACAAGTGAACCACATGGACAGAGTCCATCACAAAACTTTACACAAGAGTCCTTTTAACTGTGACTCTGTTTACGGGGTCCTACCTGAACAGGAGGAATGATACCTTGCTTACATTTTTAGATACAGAGATTGCCCATTCAAAACATTTAATAAATTAAAATCACCAGTGCAGCCAGAAGGCGTAAACTCAACTCCAAGAGACAAGAAATTACTAATGATGCTCAAATAGCAAATACATCAGACCGCAAGAAATGTGTACAAACAAGCAGAGGCTAACAAGGAAGGACGGACAGAAGACCGAAAATGGCTGGATCTGGTACCACCCCCACCTGTCTGCCCCTGTTTAATCTTAGAGGTGTTTCATCTGTTGGGTGGGTGATCAGCTATTAATTACTCTGACATTCCTGCATCCAAGCCAGAAGCAGCTGCTCCGTCCCATCAAAGAGGTTGTAAGTGTTCACAAGTCAGCAGTGTCCCTGTGGGAACACCTCGCCTGATTAAATGTGCATATCATAATTATTGGAAAGACAATACATCACTGCCCATAATCATGCTAAATGTCATGAGACCTATTCGTTATGATGGCCATAACAGATTAATTAAGCCATTAAAAATTCATAGGAGGAAGACATTAGTCCACCAGCAGACATCTGCATTATTAATCAAGCTTTTTAAACACCTGACCTTCCATTTTAATAACTTCCATTCACAAGCCCTTTCATGACAAAAGAAAAAATGGAAATAGAGAAACAGAAGTCAGAGAATTAGAGAAAATTAAGGGGGAAATGAGCTGCAGAAAACAGTCGCAGACTGACAATATTGGTGATTGCTGCCTTTCCAGATTTCTTTCTACACATTTGCAACTTAGAGGAATTTTAGAGCAGAGAGGAAAAGAGAGTTAACTATTTCCTAGGCGTACATCATTAGAGTTAAAAGGTCAGTAAACAGCACCACATTCTGCAGTTTTCTAAGGCATGTTTGCCAACCTCTTAGCCCAAGCTAGGAAAGGGGGCGACAGCTATCACAATAAAACCCAGAGGGAGCCATTTTTCCACTTGGATTTCACTGAAACACAACCTTTGCTTTCATTACTTCTGGCCTTGAAAAAGTTCTGTTGCACAAGTAGTGTGGATAAGGGTCTCTGTATTAGGACTGAACCAGCATGGACTTTTGGAAACTACGGTCCTGGGAAAAAAGGGGATGTGGGAGCATTGCGTGGTGTGCTGTGTCGTCAACCATCACACGACCATGGCCAACACCTGAGGGGTTTCTGTGGGGGCCTCCATGGGTTCTTATAGGTGGACTATATCCTTAAAGTCCATTGGTGGGATGCCAGGGCACTCCGCCAAAAAGGAGAGGCAGGAGATCCGTGTGCATTTTGGACCTCTGATAGAGGCAGAATGCACTCTCAGCAGCCAGGACACTCCTCCAGGAATGCCGCTGCTCTGTTTTTCTACCACAATTAAATAGCAAGAACAACTTTAAAACAAATGGAAGCAAAAGTGTGCAATCATGCCAGCTCTATGCAGTCATTATAAATCAGTGATGGCTTCATTGGCACAAATAAAATATTAACAGTGAATTCCCCAATTCAAAACGATATACGGCCATAATGTTTAATGGACTGAACCTATGCGATGATGAAACAAGGTATTTAAGCAATATATACAGCCCCTATACACGTGTGTATAATACAATCAGTTTCTGACAGTTGCTCTAAAATACTTTACTACACCATTTCAGTCACTTCTTGTGTACTCACTTGACTCCAGCTGGTGTGTGAACTGCACTTGCACTTTACCTTAATGTACCTCACTTTATACTGAATAAATGGTCCTGAACCTGAACATTTCCCTCCCACACGCTGCCAAAAGACTGTACAGGTGCTATACCTCACAACAACACCATATGCTGCTAAATTCTAGTTCCTGTGCACGTGCCGTAAATGCACAATAAGCTCAGATGCTGCTAATGTCCTTCCAAGTGCAATATCATATTATATATTATAAACTACAACCAATCTCTTAATTTCTCTATCTCTTAATTTCAACATGTTGAAATGGCTGTTTTTGACATGCAATTTCTTTACACGCAACACTATTCAATTCTATTCACTCTGCTACACGTGCAGTACTTCACTGCCTGGTGCGGCCTTGACCACCAATGTTTACATATATGCAGGTAAAAGCTTCTTTTGTATTACATCTACATATACACTAGGTGCATTTGGACTGTCATTGTTATATTGTTTCGTGTCATGTCTAATGCCCACTGTCTGCACTATAGACAGGTATTGTTATTGTGCGGTATAGTTATTGTGTACTGCTACTGCTATATGTGCACTGTAATCATGGAGGAATGCTGCTTCATCTCGCTACGTACTTGTACACAGTTGTTGTTCACACACATCATCTATCACAGTGGCAACAAACAGAAAAACTGAATGTGGAGAAGAGAAAATGTGGAAGACACCTTGTGACAGGTATGTCACGCACACTACAGCTAGTTACACCGGTTCCTGTCTCAAAAACAACCGGGGGGGGGGTCGGTCTGTCACTTTATGTCAGTAACAGATAAATGAGAGGCGGAAGAAGAGAGCCGCTGGTTCACACAACGACAGCAAACACGGATGTCGTTCCTCTTACCAGCATGAACTGTAATCCAACACTAAACAACATTTGCAAAGTTTAGCAGAGTTCATACAAGCTCACAAAGACATGAGAAACAAACACTTCAGGCAAAAACTGCAGAAGGAAGCAAGAAATATATATATATATATATATATATAAAATATTGAAATGATGGGATGGTGCTTCCTAGCAACACTGCCTACTCGCCTACAAGAGATCCTAGAGGTAACAGATTGACTGGAAGCTTTTCTGCACTCTAGAGAACTACTCCACTGCAATACCAGGATCGCCAGTAACTAATGACAGAAACTGCCATCGAGATCCAAGGCGCAGTCACCCCGGAGAGGGCCAGGAGCTGCCGGTTTTAAAAAGCTTACATTACCTATCCTACCTTCACAGGCATAACTCCAAGAATCCTATCTGCTCCCTAATACCACAGCAGAATAAATTACCTTTTCTGCAAGATTAAATTACAAATTTGCCTTTAGTTGCCAATTTATCAGCAATTTTAAGTGAAAACAAATGAAAACATTTGATCAGCACACCTTGTACTGGATTAGGATTGCGGAACAAACGCCCAGAAAGAAATGATAACTCACAAAAGATTCCTAATGGCCACATCAGCTGGAATTTGGTTATTTCAGTAAACTTGCAAACACTTCTCAAAAAAAAGTTAACTGCAAATACACATTTACTAGCATATGTTGTACCGTCCTGTTCAAATTAATTATGCAGCTGGTTACACTTTAAAGCAAATCGTTTAAAAAGTTTTAGCCATAGATGTCAGACGGTATAATATGACAGCTGCAGAAACAAGCATAGCCATCGCTCAAACAATACATTTTTATATCAAAGTGAAAGAGAAAACAAAGCTGACTGCGCTATTTATATTACGCATGCGAAAAGTGATAGGAGATCAGATTAGGAAAAGTTACGATGCGGCACCTGATCCAACGTCAACGTCGTTTCAAGGGGATTAACTTGTGGACCATTTATATTTCAGGACCGCGTAAAGAAATATGTCGTCTAGCCTGTGACAAAAGCCCTGACACACGCCAAAACGATGTGGGTTCGCATTTACCGCATGGGAACTACAGTGAAAACGAAAGACATCTTCAGTATTTTCCCACAGTATGACCCCAAAGCATCCGACTAACGGGAATAACCGCTACCAAGTCATATGTACGGAAACTAGCTGGTTAACAGTGTAACTATTGAGACGGTTAACTGACACTACAGTAATACTAGCACTGGAGACCGATGAATTTGCCAGTTACCTCGGTGTATAAACGAAATACAAACCCGATCAAATGAAAAAACAGATACTCCATAAAGCGTCTTTGTTTAGAGGAGACATTTAAAAGCATTGGCGCCGCTGACTAGTTGCCAAACTATCTAGCACCAGTTTATTTAGTTTGCTAACGTGGTTAGCATGATAACCTACTTTCGCCACACAAAGACCCCCTGTCGTCTGCCTACATAACGCCAGGTATCCGTCAAAAATGGCAGCAAAAGAAAATGCTTTATAAAGTGCCTCACTACTTTATTAAATATGAAATATGTATGTTAATGTACGTATTTATGTAAGAAATATTTATGAAAGTAAAACGATTAAAGAGTTGTCCTTGAAAACAGAAACAAGTATGATCTTATCTCTCTTTTATGGAACTGTCGTTTAACCCCGTTGCGTGAGAGGTTGTAAATACACCGCTCGATGGGCGATAATTCATAGAGTATTCTGGATACGTTTAACCGGCTCATAGTTCACTTACCCTTAGCAAAGCAAACTTTTAATAAGCCTGGTCACCATCAAACCATCAATACAAATCTTGTACGCGTGTGTTGTAGTTCGCCTGATACCGGGATTTTAACATCAGATTTTTGATTGTCTTACTTCCTGATTGACGTCGCCATCTTGAACGTTAAAAACACTTCCGCTATGACGTCACTCATTCACAGTTCTTTCGGCTTGGGCTTCGTTTTGAGAATGCATCAGGCGAATTCGCGACGGTGGCCGTAGTAATGGCACTTAGATTTGTTAAAATGTTATAAAGGATCACATATTTCGCCCTTTTGGTTACAAATTATGTTTTTAAATTCATTTACCTGTACATGCGAATCCACATCAATGCAGTATGCTAGGAATAGTATCCTACTACCTTATATGACCATTTGTTCAAAGCAGGATCATGGCAAGGTTGGAACCTGTCCCAGGCAAAATAGAGTGTAAAGGGAATTTAAGACACCAATTCACCAAGATTACATGTTTTTGGATTCTGGGAGGTCACGCCAACTTTACACAGAGCAAGTGTGTGAATCAAACACATAAGCCTGGACCTAAAACCACTCAAACAACTATGCCACTGTGCCATCCCATGGTGCCTGGGAAATTGAGTTCAAAAGAGGATGGGTTTAATCGATAGCAAACCATAATGACACATTTGCCTCGTTTATCTTGCCTATGATTTGGAATCAAACCTCTTAGGTTCATAATAATGCACTGCAGAGGAAATGGTTTTTAGTGAATATGAAACTACAGGGGTGTTACCTGTGAAATAATTATACAGGAAGATTAACTTAGGATCAAACCGACCAACAGATAAAGTGTGAAAGATTAGTTTTAATGATTCATTATGTAGTGTGAGATCCAACACACAGTGGCACACATTTGGAGGTAGTATGTGACTCTGTACTTGTGATTATAAGGTTGCTGGTTCAAATCCCAGGGTCAGTACAGCCATTTCACTAGTGGGCTCTTGAGGTAGGCCCTTAACCCCGAATTGCTCCTGTGATTTACTGTCCCAGCTTTCACCAACAGGCCCCATCCAACATGCTTGATGCGGTGATATTATTTGTATGGTGTCATGTAAAACAGACTACAACAAACAGCTGTTCACACAAAATGTAACAAATTATAAAATTAGGATGATCTTTGGTAATGATGGGTTCAGGAATGGAACGAGGCTGAAAACTGCATGCATTGTCACTAAAGGTCAATGGAAACTTTAGTCGGTTCCAAAATTGAAAAGGGACTTTACAGAGTAATTGTGTACATGCATGGTGACACAAAAATTAGGTAGATATCCAACATTTCAATGGATGGAAGATTGATGGATGGAAATACATTATTGCTTGACATGCTCATTTTTATATTTAGTGTAGAACAGTTTCTACGTCGTAAAAACATTATGATAAGTAACAATATATTAAAATTTAAACTGGTATATACGTTGACGGTACTTTTGAAATATGTTCTGAATATCGATGTTCTCAAAATAACATCTACACTTCCTATAGGTACAACGCTGTGCAAGTGAACTATTTTGTGACAATTTAAACTGCTTTCCTGTAGTCCGCCGTATCGATCATGGACTTTGACAGGAGCTCCGCGTGGAATATGACGCAGCCTGAACGTCTGAGAGTGTATTTCAGGATTCATTTTATTATATGCATTGGTCAGCGAACGGCGACTGACAGACACCACCCAAAATGACATTTATTTTTATATAATCACAACTATATTTGTATGTCTAACGTTTGTATTTATATATCCTAACATTAGGTCATTTGATTATTTTTGTGTAGGCCTATTTAAGTTCCTTTTCGGGCTGGATTGCGGAAAAGCATCGATAAGTGTTTTTAATTCCTTTAATGAAGATGAAAATATATCAAGAAATATGCGTCTTCTTCGTATCTTTGTCGGCCCCGGTCCTACTTTACGTTATGAACAACGTTCCAACTTTTCATGAGTAAGTCTAACTTTACTTCTTTCCCCTCATAAGAAATGGCATTTATTCGCATAGAATATTATATGATATAGGCCTAGTTTTTGTTTTATATTTAATAATCGCCGTTTATCAAATTAATTATCAGATCATTTCGGTCGAACTGTTTTCTGTCCATTCAAAGTGTAATTGAGGTGAAAATGTATGCGTGTGGCCCACAGGTATACATAATGCTTATTACCTCTAAAGACGCCGTATAGTCATTTTTATGGAGTTCATTATTATACGGATCCATACAGCGAACCTGGCAAGGTTGTCCTCATACCCGCGTATTAAGAATTGGAAAGAACTCTCAATAAAATGTCTTCATGGTACTTTTTCCATTAACACCACCACTTGGACATAAAAAAAAACAAATGATCTGTAAAATTACCCGGCAGGCATTAAATTTTACTGAGGCCATTACGATTTAGTAAATTTTCTTATGTTTGCCGGCAAAACGGGATAATTTATGGTTATTTTCTCAAATTTATAAATGAAGCACTCGACTCAAAAGGGTCAAAATATCAAGAAGCCCTTAGCTCAGGCGGTCAAATGTGAACGCTGACTATTAAGCAGCTTCTGGGCGCAAAAATAATGTCAGCCCTAGAGCCCTCCTGCCATAGGAATACTTCTTTCCATAGAAATTGGTTTGGATTGAACTTATAAGTGGATTTTACAGGAGTGTACATTAGAAATGAATTACAAAAAGTACTGGAAAGGAATATACAGTCAGGTCCATAAATATTGGGACATCGACACAATGCTAACATTTTTGGCTCTATACACCACCACAATGGATATCAAATGAAACGAACAAGATGTGCTTTAACTGCAGACTGTCAGCTTTTATTTGAGGGTATTTACATCCAAATCAGGCGAACGGT